CAACAAATTTTAAAATCGTCTCAAATCAACAGAAGTTTACAACCTCAGTAACCTGTGTATCACCTTCATCTAATAGGTTAGGTCAAGGATTAGGACTGCTCACCCCATGAATTCAACATATGAAGATAATTATTCAAAAACATGCATGACCGAGTAAATACGACCTGAATGGCACGTTAATGTAAGTCCACCAACTCTTCACGGCATTTGACTCCGTCGATCGTGAGGTTCTATGGCAGTGTTTGTCACTGAAAGTAGTACCAAAGAAGTACATTAACCTCATAACGGCTCTCTACTCGAACACAACTGGTCGAGTTAGAGCCTATGGCGAACTTTCATCAGAACTGATTACATCAAGTGGTGTTCGTCAAGGCTGTCCACTCTCCCCATTCTTGTTTAACTTTGTCGTTGACTTGCTTTAAGAGTTAAAACACTTTCATCATCTAAATCTGCAGGAGTTGAACTTTTACCGGGAGACTCACTTGTTGACTTAGAATACGCCGACGACATAGTTTTACTTGGTGAGGACGCTGGCAACATGCAGAGTCTTCTGGCCACTATAAGCAACAATGCAGGCATGTTCGGGATGCGATTCTCCCCCTCGAAGTGCAAAATGTTACTTCAGGATTGGGTTGCATCGACACCTGAACTAATGATAGGGAGTGAAGTAGTTGAGCGTGTTGACAGCTTCACTTATCTTGGGAGTCTCATCAGCCCTTGTGGTCTGGTGTGTGATGAAATCTCAGCACGGATACAGAAGGATCGTCTAGCTTACGCCAACATGCATCATTTGTGGCATAGGCGAGATATCTGTCTAGCAACCAAAAGACGTGTTTACTGTGCAGCAGTTCGTTCCGTCCTACTTTCTGGCAGTGAAACATGGCCGATAAGAGTAGAGGATATTCGTAGGCAACTTGTATTCGATCATAGTTGTCTTCGAAGCATTGCTCGTATATTCTGGGACCATCGGGTATGTAATGCAGTTGTTAGGAAACAGTTACTAGATAAGGATGGTAAATCGATTGATGAAGTAGTGAAACTTCATCAGTTGAGATGGCTGGGACATGTGTTACGTATGCCCAACCACCGACTGCCCCGACGTGCAATGTTTCATGGTGTAGGAGTAGATTGGAAGAAAGCTAGGGGTGGCCAGACCAAAACGTTGCACAAATCAATGAAGTCACTGACAATTGGACTGAGCCATGTTGGTAGGTGTAGACTACGTGGTTGGGATCCGCGAGATGATGGCAGTCGATGGTTAGAGACCTTGAATGACATGGCTCAAAATCGTTTGGAATGTCGAAGGTGCATACACTCTTTGTGTTCTACCAAATTCTAATCTTCTGAATTCCTCATGTCTTTATCTTTTTCTCTTTCCAAATCTATTTCGCTGGATTATACTTCTTGAATAACATCTTCAAACCATAATCTTTCGGATTACTGCTTATACTCTTACTACTTCTACCACTATGGGATTTGAATGGACAACTTCATCTCTGTGCTAATGTGGTATGGCAACTCGAACTGACGTACGTACGTACGAAGTTCTACGTTGTGACTGACTGGCTGGTAAGGTGGCCTGTTCATCAATAGAGTCGAGTGGTACCTTCAGATTAAGGAATAAAATCGAATAGTCCTTGACAGTCGTATAACGGACGTGTTTTGTGTATTTTATCGTAATTGCTTAATTGTGATTCTTTCATTGTAAATTCTTGGAACAACCTGGCTATCATTTTAAAATATGAAACTTTTAAATATTTGTCCTCATTTTCAATCGGTAAGCTTGTCTTTGCCTGCTGGTATGCGGCCCATGCTCCTCCACGAGGGGTAACAGGCGTAAGTATGTAGGTTGTCTTTGTAAAGTTGAACCATTATCTTCTTTCATTCTATCTTTTACTTATATTCACAAGTTCCTGTTGTTCGTTTAGTTATTTTAATTTTTAATGTGATCGTGTAATCATTGGTAAAATAAATAGATTTTCCACTTGTAAATAATTTAACTAACATAATGTTATTCTTCATTTAATTTTTTTTTGAAAGCTCCTAAATTCCAATATCCAGACTTGAATATCCGTGAAGAACAATTACCTACTGTTAATTTGGCTGATTTGTTGGCTTCTCAAAGTAAAGATCCTACATTGTCCTTCAAAACTATTCAAAATGGACGTACTGGGATGAATGATGGAACTAGTTCTGTATTTAAACGTCCACTAGCACCTAAACCATCCACACTCAACAATCGTGTACAGTATACTCCTAAAATGATGTCCAGCCAGTCTCCAGAGATATCCCTTAACAACATTAGACAAACAAACTCTCCAGTAAGTATTTTACACTGTATAATTTCGAATAATTATAATTAATTTCATTCAGTATTGTTTGTTTGAATCTTCCCATCGATTTGTTAGGACCGCAACTGGTCAGTCTCTAATTGGCATATGTGCATACTGTGCGTATTGCCTCAATATAGCCTTAATTCACAAGCATGGTAAGCAGAGATGGATAGTGGTTAGCAGTGGAAGATTCAAACAAACAATACTGAATGAATTTAAACTTCACCCCATCGCACAAGCAAGTGGCTATCAGGACTCAGTGGCCGAGTGGATAACGCGATGGCATTTGAAGCGAGGGTACTGGGTTCGAGTCCCAGAGTGAACATCAACTCTGAGATGCAGGTACATCCAGCTGACGAGTCCCGAATAGGACGGAACACGCGTCCTGGATTTCACTGCTAGCCACTATCCATCTCTGTTTACCATAATTATAATTAATGTTTGACTTACCTGTCGCTTGATAGAAATTAGTTACTAAGCATATCCCAATGACTGCCAAATAATTAGGATGTTGTCACGGAAGTAAGTGGCTCAGTAAAGGCAGCACTATGTATTTGATGTTTTGTAGTCTCATGTGAGATGCTTTAGGTATTATTCTCAATAGTTCTGAACCACCAAACTAAATCCCTTGTTTGCTTCATTTGGTAGACAAAGATGCTTAAATTTCATGGTAAAAAAATTGATTGGCTGTAGGGAACCAATTATATGTTATTCGGTTTTCGTTTTATTCTTTTACGTCAGATAGATGATTGTTGATGTCTAAACTAAACTCCTACAGTGAAAATATCTAGAGAAAACATATAAATTTCTTTATGCGTAATATCGTGCTGTTTTAATGATAATAGTAACGGTATGTGTTTGATTATGGTTAAGAATTCTCAGCATAAAATGTATGCAATTACAATAAACTACCTTTCATATTCATTTAACTTATGAATATTTGACAAATACATCGTCAATTATTTCTCATCTCCAAACGTTTCATATTAATATTGAACATAAAATATCTGATCCATCAGTTTCATCGTGATTGCCTTCCATTTCTTCAGAGGACAGACGAGAAAGAAAATATGTCATCCACCGTTGTGGCAGTTTTGCAATATTCCTATAATGGTCAATGATTTTAATTAGGTATCTGAAACTTAATAATTAGCCAATCGTATTTATGAATCTCGCTTCCCCTAACCTATTATATAAGCAGTTTACTCAAAATTACCATTCTGCTCGAACCCGACTACTCAAACATGTACTCTTCTATTACCGAATCAAAATGATAATAATTAATCTAAGAAATATCGTTAAGTAATATATTAGACCAGTTAATTAATGCTTATTTAACGTTGGTTAAATTGAAAACAATTATTTTTGCTAGTCAGTGTTACTAATACAAAACCAAATTATTGAAATGATGCATGTTTAAGGTTGTTTTGTAAGGAAACACACGAAACTGTATAAATCAGGAACTACTGAAAGATAATTGTAGTTCACACGGATATTCGTCAATGTTCGCATGAATATTTTGATAAAAATTGGGTGCCGAATATATAGAAAAGGTTATTTGTGAAAATCATATTTGAAAACATCTCAGTGATTGCACTTTAAACAATTCCAACGTTTCTTCGTGCAAACTTATCTGAACTTCTTCAAGGCAAATTGTTTAAATTAACAATCGCTGAGATTACTTTAAATATAATTTTCACAAATAATTGAAGTACAGTTGGATGAACTGATTGATTTTATGTTTACATGGAGGCAAATATCCTTACGGACTCCAGCAGATTTAGTTATTTCGATGAGAGTATCCAGATATGTCTAACATTTCTCTGCATAGTTGTAGCTAATTAAATACATTATTAAATCGTTTATTGTTATTATTACTATTATTACCATAATATCATTACGTCAGCAATGGAATTAGTCAGTTTGGTTACAAAATCAATCAGTCATATTGATTATCTCATGAGACAGTTATATTTATTGTCATTAAAATGCGCTAATTTCTAAATTAAAAGCGGAGGAAATTGAGAGCTTGTTTCGCTATTGAGATGTGTTAATTATTTGCCATTTTTTTATTAAATCGAACACATGAACGTTGGTATGAGAGGGCACCAAATACATATGCGCCACACAATAAGAATGCGGTTGTGAAAAGATAAGGAATGTAAAGTGTGTATAACGAAAAGAAGAAGAACAATTAACAGTAGTTAGTGTATGAGAGTGAAATAATAATAATAAGTCATAATGATAATAATGAGAGAAACAATCCAGTTAAGGTAAATACAACCAGAAAGATTCTCTTTATTCAGAAAAGCTCTTCTCATTTCTATGAGAAAAACAAAGGAAAACCACACAAGCACTTTCATTTGCTTCTATTTGGAGACATGCTTGGTAATGTATCAAGCCAAACTTGCACTATCGATAGCACTTCAATCAGAGAGTGGTGAAGGACCAGCAGAAGCCAGTCCTGTACACTCTTCCTTCAGAACACAACACCATTTCATACATTGACCATCTCTCCGCTTTCTCCAACCAGTCTCAGAGACGGCAAATAATGAATGATGTTGAATCCACTGGCACGACATTCATAGGTCATGTCGAAACCATTGGTGTTGACGTCTCAACATGGTGACACCAACTGAGTTATCGTTGCTATGTCCGAACACACGATGCCGAACCTCTGCATCACTAACAGAGTGTTGCCACTTGATGTCAGTAATTCTTCGGGGACAATGATGATCAAACATAGAGAGTCACCTATCATCCTCAACTTAGAGAGGTCAGGACTCACAAGCAGAGTGAAATTTCTTTCATCAACTAGTAGTAAGCTCAACCTTTTACAGCCAAACTGACATCGCGAAGACGTCAAAGATGGTTCAGATTGGCATAACTCGTTCTGTCTCTCACTATATTTGGATCCATCTCACCACCCACGCCACCACCAACACTTACACAACAACTCGAATGCATGGAATTTCCTACTAATTCTAACTGCTCACTATCAACAGTGAGTGTAGGCATAGGCTCTTGTTGGTCTTGTAAAAGTATTTTGCATTCGAAAACTGAGAAGCACATGTCATGTCTACGGACATTCATAGTCAATTGCTTAAGTTCGGTTTGCTTAGCTGGTGTGTCAAACCATAGTGAGACATTGTCATCTGCATACTGAAGAGCAAAAAGGTTTTCTGCATGTAACAGATCCATACCACCATCAAAACCTACTTTCTTCAGGACTGTTTTCAGTAAGTCATCGATGGGAAAATTGAAGAGAAGTGGTGAGGTTAGGCAACACTACCTAACCGCATTGCAACAATGAAACGATGGAGAGAGGTGGTCGTATGCCCTCACTGTCTGGGTTGTCTGTGTATAGGGTTATGTTAATGTGTCAGTAAACTTCTCAAACACACCCTTCTACAACAGACAATCCCAGAGAACAGTCCTGTCCAACGAATCGAAGTTGGTTCTGATGTCAAGAAACACTACGATTGTTGAATTGTAATAAGCATCACGGTGTTCTATCACTTAGTGTATGATGATAATATGATTAATATATCCTTGACCAGAACGATAACCAGCCTCTTTCTCACGATTTACTCTTCCTCGAGTTTTGAACAATCTACGAAGAATGATGCATCGTTATGTGATCAATGTGTGTTCAGGTCTGAGATTTAGAGGGAGGAAGTCAAGTAGCACATTGGCAGTGACTGTGCTAGTAGTTAGTGCTAACCAGAAACACGTTGTAGTCCGCGCAAGGTTGCATTAGATGGTCACTGTTATCTGACCTGCGACAATCAAGTCCCCATTGGTCACCTAAAAGCCTCTTCTGTGCCTAGATGCCCGACTTTTAACATTTTGATCTCCAGCTAGTTCTACAATATCTGGCAAACGCACTTTCTGTAGAAAAATAGATAACTGGTAGTGAAAGTCGTTAATCACATCCGGACTGCAATTTGTCGGAACGTAGGAGATGAAAAAATATCGTTCCTCATACCGACTTCTTTGCAGTTTGATGAAACTTTCTAATCTAACTGCACATAACCGGCTGTCTTTGGGTATCTGCTCGATCAGTTTTGCCTCAGCTCTAGTGCTTAGTGAGACAGCAGCTCCAGCAAAACCAGACGAAGATGTCACAGAGTCGTCGGATAAATAAGCATGGAACAGGCTTTCGGAAGCAGCAGATGGAGAGCGAATTTTTAGTACTTCACTAGAGTCTTGAATGTGAGTCTCAGGTAAACATCAGACATTAATGTTGAGACTTTCTAAAGACATGGTGAACCCTATCTGTTGTCTGATCTGCATTAGTGTGCGAGCTTTGAATGAGGCCAGTTTGAATGGAATACATGGTTTCAAAAAGGCTGGCTCCGGATTCGTAGTCGATGATAGTGTTGAACATTCGACCAATCAGTGACTTGAGATCATTTGGATAGGACAGGGTTTCCACTTTAGACGAGCTGCCGTATAATTTGAAAAATAAAAGAATACACAAAACAAGAATGAAAGACAGTAGATAAATGACGCAGTATAAAAGAAATAAAACTGAATGTTATCCATTGGTTGAAAATGTGGTTTGTCTGAATACTAATTGAAGCAAGAATAATTTTTCCAGCAGTAATCGTCATTCGATTTGTGTGAGGGCTGCAATACTGTCCGGGCCTCTATATTGAGGCAGGTGGTTTCTTAGGAGGCCATGCTCTGAGCCTTTAACCTAGTGGTCTTATCCACATGATACTGAAACAACGTTAGGAGATGCAGTCCCACGGTAGCCAGTGACCAACGATAAGTTCATACACCATTTGTTACCTCAAGATTATGGAACCCATGTGCTCCATCGGTTTAGAATCACGATTTTCCAACTCCCGTACATGGATTCTCGATATCCATCAACCCAGTAAAAGCGCAGTACATTCACTTTTTGTCCTTTCAATTTCATAAACCACACCTCTGTCACGAGAAGGCACTAAGTAGGACTTTCCTGTCAAAGGCTGTATACGCGTGGCTATGTGACAGCATTTTGAGAGGGAGAGCGGACTCTCCTCACCCTCAGCCGGTACAGGGCATTTCAGGGTGATGTTGTTCAGCGACCACAATACGATGTTTTCAAACCCAAACTTCACAATCTGTTACGTCGCGAAATTATTGCGTATTGAGATAGGACTACACGAAATTCTACCGATTGCCCAAATTCAGATATCCTAGTACGACCCCAATACTGTTCCCCAACCTCCAGTAAATCAGGACACAGCCGTTAAACAAGAATCGTTTCCAGGGTCAGAAGCAGATCAAAAATGATTTACAGGCAAGGTATATTTATACAGTTAAGATGACTATGAACAATAACCAATAGAAAGAAAGCACACGTAAAGGTTATAATTAGGACAACTCAAAATTGACCAATAGGAAAACGACACGTGAAAGTCATAGTTAGGACAACTGTAAATAATGACCAATAGAAAATAACATGCGAATTATGTGAAGAGTCTGAAAACATACCACTTTACATTCGAGATAATTTTTGGGATATTCCTGTGAATATCCTAACACAATCATACATCATAACAATTGTAAACTATTTTTAGCTTTTTAATCACATTGTATGTCTATTTCAGTCTTGTTTTCGTCTGTAACAATTGTAATATTCTCCTAAGTTGTTCTAAACGTTTCTTCTTTTAACTACTGTCCTTTTTTAGGTTGATCACCGACTGGGTGTTGTATCATCAGGTTTATCAAATTTATCGGTGGGAAAATCTGATTTATAGTAAGAAAAATGATTTAGATTTTTTAAACCATATTTTTTCGCTCGTTAAGAAAACATTAAAAATTTTCTTTTGTTGTAATAAATTTTGTTAATTTATGGATTTAACTACTTATAATAGAAATTCGCATTATCTTACTCTGAATTCAGATAAAATGACAGTTAAATGGCTTAGTTGGTTTACATTTGGCCTGTAAGTTTGAACCTTGTTTCACTTTGATATAAACTTTCAATTATTATCACCAAAGCATACAAAATGTTCATTTTGGATTCAAGTACACAAAAATGTACTTGGTTACGAAATTCTATTACTGTTTTGACCGTCCATACAGTAAAAAAATTAAGCCTTTCAAACTATACTCTTTTAGTTTTTATACAGTTTCATTGATGTTGATTCGTTACAAGTAGGTGATACATAATATATATCAAACAAATTTAGGTATTAACTAAACTTTATAAGCAAAGATGGATGGTGGCCAACAGTGGGATTCAGGACGCTCGTCTGATCCTATTTGGGACTCGTCAGCTGGATATACCTGCACCTCAAAGTTGTTGTTCAATCTGGGATTCAAACCCTGTACCATTCGCTTCAAATGCCATCGCGTTATCCACTTAGCTACTGAGTCCTGATAGCCATCTGCTTGTGCGATGTGGTGAAGTTATATTGACTTGGTGCTGTATACTTGTATCTTCCCATTGTTATTTGGGACTACAATTGATCAGTCTCTATCCATCTTTGCTTATAAAGCTTGTGACTTCAGGCAATATCGAGGCAGTCCGCACAAGATGCACATATGCCAACAAGAGACTTATCATTTGCAGTCCTAAATAACAATAGGAAGATACAAGTATACAACACCAAATAAATATTAACTAATCTTACTTGTTATCTTTGAACGTCTAAAATAAACCATTGTTATTTTCACATTAAAGTCGTTTGTTCTTATTTTTTAAAACATGAGTTTTTGTAGTCTTTATATATCAGTGTAATACTATAATAATAAATGTAAAAATAAGAAACGATAACAAACTGTATTATAATGAATTGATAACTGTAATAGCCTAACCTAATAGAATAAGTGAATGTAATGTGTTTGAATCAAATTGATTTATTAGATTCCTTCATCTACACTGATGTCACTCATTCCTTTTTTTTCTTAGGTTTTTTTGTAATTGCATTTGCATATTTTCTCAAATTTCAATGTTTCATTTCTATGGTTTTAATGATAATAATAATAATAATAATAATAATAATAATAATAATAATTACTACCTTTTTTAAATTAATATTTGTCGTTAACAGAATTACTTTCATTGGCATTCTTCAAGTTTTATTATAGTCTGCTTTCATTATTTAATATTATGTAATTTGTATTGATAATGGTTTCTTTGATGCACATGATCTATTTTTATCTTATTGATAAGAAGCCTTAGATCGTAGTAATTACTTGTTATCTACCATTCTGTGCATATATCACTTTGTTGTCATCAAAATTTATTCGTATTTAGTTACGTACTATTCATATAAAGTTTGTTGACTGTGAAATGATTAGTAGTGGTAGTAGTATAATAATATCATAGTTACAATAGCATTAACTATTATTTAAGAATATGTTCAAATCATGAAGACGTCAACATCTGGAGAGAAGCACAGGATACAGTGGACAGCTAGGATGCAGCTGGATGATCTAGACTTCGCGGATGATCTAGCTCTTCTATCGCACACGCAACAACAAATGCAGGAGATGACGACCAGTGTAGTAGAAGCCTCAGCAGCAGTAGGTCTTATTATACACAAAAGGGAGAAGCAAGATTCTCAGATACAATATAGCATGCACCAATTGAATCACACTTGACGGAGAAGCTCTGGAGGATGTGGAAACCTTTACATATCTGGGCAGCATCATTAATGAACACGGTGGATTTGATGCAGATACGAAGACGCGAATCAGCAAAACAAGAGCATCAAATTTACAACTGAATAACATCTGCAACTCAAAACAACTGTCTGTCAACCAACACCAAGGTTAGAATTTTCAATACAAATGTGAAGACAGTTCTTCTGTATGGGGCGGAAACCTGGAGAACTACGAAAGTCATTATCCAGAAGATACAGGTGTTTATTAACAGCTGTCTACGCAAGATACTTCGGATCCGATAGCCAGACACTATCAGCAACAAGTTACTGTGGGAGAGAAGAAACCAAATTCCAGCAGAGGAAGAAATTGAGAGGAGGTCAGTGTATGACATGGTGTCGTGGCATGAAAGATAGCTGCAAAGGGCTAGCTTCTGTTGGTCCTTCACGACTCCCTGGCTGGGGTCCGAGAGATGGTGCAACACAGTGGCTAGAGACGTTATCAGATATGGCTCAGAATAGAAGCCAGTGGCGATCCTGCTGCAACCTTCTTTTACTTTCTACATAAAGAATGGTTCTAACTTTCTTAACTGAAAGAGTCTTCTGGTTGTACATTTCAGTCCGCCTTATCTTTTCATCCCTTCTCTTCCTACTTTCATTATTTTGTGTGGCGCATATATACCTGGTGCCCCTTTGTACCAATATATATATGTGTTTAAATAAATAAATAAAGAGGAAGAAATTAGGAGGAAGCGCTGGAAGTAGATTGGGCACACCTTGAGGAAATCACCCAAATGTGTCACAAGACAAGCCCTCACATGGAATCCTGAAGG